GTGTGGGAGGGTATGGGTGTATGTGGGGGCAGCGGGGTGGGTCCTCAGAGTCTCTGGAGTATGTAAGTCCCTAGAGCTTCATGTGGTGGTAGGGAGTGAGGCCAGCACAACTTGGTCCCATAGTGCACAGCTCCTGCACTCCCACCCAAGTCTCTGGCCACAGGTGGCGGCAGCAAGTGCGACCAGCCCTTCCAGCCCCATAGAACCCATTTCTGCACTCCCGCCTGAATCTCAGGCTGCATGTGGCCACAGCAAGTGTGGCCAACCCCACCCAGCCCAATACTACTCCCACCCAAATCCCCAGCTGTATGTGGCAGCAGTGAGCAGGACCAGCATGCATTCCCACACTCCTGCCTGATTCCCTGGCTGCATATAGAGGCAGTGAGCGGGACCAGCTTACCTGACCCCATAGCATGCATTTCTGCTCTCCTGCCTGATTCCCCAGCCACACATGGTGGCAGCAAGTGGGACCAGCCAATCCAGCCCCATAGTGTACATTTGTGCACTCCCACCTAAGTTTCTGGACACACATGATGGCAGCGAGCAGGGCCAGCCCTATAGCACACTTTTCCAAGCTTCCACCCAATTCCTTACCTGAATTTCCAGTCTCTAAGGAAGGAGGGCTGGGGGGTAGCCAGGCAAAAGCCTGTGCCATGCAGAGGCTTCTTGTCTCTAGTTCTCCCTACCTTAGAGCTGGGGGCAGGTCAGGCAAGGCTGGAGTGGGGGTTGGTTGCTTAACCACCACAGCCGCACCTCTTGCATGGAGGCACTGGCTTTCAGAGGGGCCATGAGGGCCAGGATACTTCTTTTGGTTTACAGAGGGGCCTTGAGCTGGATGGAATCACCTGGCAGGCTGGATCTGACCCGCAGGCCCTATTCTGCCTGCCCCTGCCTTATGTGAACTCATTAGTTCCCGCTAAAATTGGTGTAGCTGTACAAGAAGACCTAAAGGCAAAAATAAATCCATTGAAAAAGGAAAAGGTACAAGCATAAATATCTTATGGATTTTTGTGGATACAGCTGCCAGCCCAAATATACAGTTCCTACCAATGTTTGTGGGAGTTCTGAGCAGAAGTGACTGGTTAGATCAAGGGCTATATCCTGATCTTGTTAACACTGGTGAAAATTCAAGGTAAGTGATATGTTCCCCAAATGAGGTACCATATTTCCTTGAATCCAAGATGAGTTTCTTTCCTTCATTCAGCATTGGGGGGGAAGGGAATTCCTTCATCTTGGATTTAAGTATAAGGTGGGGCAGGGAGCAGATGATTGCTGCAGCTCTGGCTCTGGCCCCAAGAAGCTGCTCCCCCTCCTCCATACACACACACTGTTAGCTGTGGCCCCCAGCTCTGGGTCCTGGGGCACACAGCACATGGAGGCTCTGTCTCCTGTCTGGCCAATCAATAGCATTGCAGTTCCAGCCCTAGGACACTGCCATGTAGCCAGGCAGAGGTCTTGTTTCCATGTGCTCCATGCCATGGAAGGGAATGGAGCCAGAGCCGTGTTTGGTAGTAAGGGAAGGGGGCAGAGGTTGTGGGGAGCAGGTGGTGGGGACAAATTTAAGATGACTCTGATCATTAGATTCTGTACCTGTAAAATTATAATGAATTTATAAATTTTCTATACATAGTATTTAATTATTGGGGGTCATCTTAAATTTGAAGTCATCTTGGATTCAGGTAGACACAGTAAATAATTCCTGGTAACATCACTGAGACTTACATGCATGGAATCATCAGTGAACACACCTGAGTATAAGTGTGAATAAGGTCCCCTCAGCCTCTTACTTTACTACATAATATAAAATATATAAAATAATTTCAAGAAAAGTTTCCACTAACATGCTTTTGTATACAGGTATTAATGGCATGTTAGAATGTTTAGAATGTTTCAAAACCTGGCTTCTAAACTAGGTTAGTCACTAAGATTCGGCATAATTATATCCCTTTGTGCCACAAAACGCAACTGTGCAGAGGTTATCAGCTTTACAGCCGTAAGTAATAGGGGAAGCTTTAGATAGGACCCAAATATAAAAAGAGCTTGACCTAATTCACTTCCTGGTGGGCTGGTCCAGTTTTCTTTGAGGTCACTAAAAAAGCTCTCACTGATATCAAGGGGCCTTGGATCAGGTCCTCATTTATTTGAATAAGATCTGAACTCTTAATGAACTAGAAGATATAGGTCCCAGATAATATTAGTGGTAGCTGAGAGCATGAATCTTGATATAGGTTTTTTATCAGCTTTTAGCATTGGGTTCTAGACATCAGTAAAATCTGAAATTTCTAGTTATTCCGTTAAAATACTTTATTTTCATGATAATTTGATGAACCCCAGTGGACACAAGGGTCTGATATTATATTCTTATAGACCCAAATAGCTGGTTTTCTTGAGAACTCCCCAAAATGTTTCCCCTTAACCCTATTTTATTCTTTTTGTAATGTCATCTCTCTTTCTGCAACTCTCTATTTTAGCCCACATAACTGGGATGTGGAAAGTGACACTAACTGTAACGGCATATGGGTAAGCAACTGAAGTTAAATATTGAAATTTCTTCCCACTTCTTCCCTCTTCTCTATTAGAATTAATCTGCAAGTATTATATTAACCTGGTTTTCTAACTGGATTAGACTGTTCTCATATATTTGCCAATTTGTGATAGCCAAAGTAATCCCACTCAAGTAATTCCAGTTACTTTTGGATTAGAATAATACTTTTGGGGACTAAAATGTACAAATATATTACAAATTATGGCTCTGAAAGACTAAAACTGTGAATATGTATTTTCTGGTTTTGTGTCTTTGCTTTTTCTTCTTTTTCCCCCTCCAAAGCCTCAGTTTTCTTGTGAAAGCATGTTAGTGAAATGTCTGAAATGGATTCATGAATGTTATCATAATGCTTCCATAAGCATAGCTTAAAAACATCTGCATGTTAAAATTCCTCCTTATATTTATGGCAACACTTGAAAGTTCCCAGATGACATACTGTTCAGATTAACTCTGGATTTGACATCAAACTCTAGTGACACAGCAAGAATTTTAATCTTCTTTGGGACCCCTGTCAAAAATAAAGAGAATTAACAGATCCTCTCTCCACCCCCAAAAAAGTTACACAAAACTTAAATATGTAAATGCATCTCCAGTGACATTAGATTAGCTTTATAATTATATAATAATTCCTGAATGAAAATATGCAAAAGTGATTAAATTCTTGATATCTGCTTTGTGTTGTCACTTTATGAGTATCAAAATACTCTGCTCTTTTTTTCTTCTAACAGGGTGTAGATCCAAAAGATGGAATTCCATATGAGCATAAATTCTGTAAAGGTAAATCATTAAATATAAGACATGCTGTATACAATATTTATTTGTAATGTATTTTATAAATATTTTGATACAAGCTGTCATGGTCATTGCAAACCTTGAGAAAAGATGGCAGATTTCACAGCTTCTTTGTACTGGCAAAAATGGCAAATTCATTTCTTTAATGTGAGAATAAGTGAGGGGAAATTTGGAGTCTACATCCCTTGCAGACAGTAACTCTCAATCATATGATCTATGGGTGCAGTGATTGTTGTGTTCTCTTTGTATTGCAATAAGTATTGGGACATTTTAAAACAGCATATTATATGAATAATACTCTGGGGACAGAGGTGGGGTATGTTGATTTTGCAGGAAATTGCAGCCAATGCAATATTTCCTGGTGATCACAGAAAATGCCATTTTTTGTGATTTCCACAACAAGTTATATTATATAACCTATCTATATTAACAATTAAATTTAATTTTGAATGCACTGGAATTTGAATTTTGCTACCCCGAAATCAAGTCCAGCAAGGACAGCAGGAGTTGGAGATGCCTTCTCTACCTACTGACAATGTTCTTCAAGCTTACCTTGTTGGGATCCCTTCAGGAATGAAAGGACTGTTCAGTTTTCATGCCCACCTGGACAACCACATTGCTTGGATTGAGAATTACCACCTTATTTCATTTATGCTAATTACATATACAGATGCAAATATTATATTACAATTAAGCAGCCATAATAATAACTTTCAGTTAATACCTACCTTGGCTTGCATTATGTTAGTGACTGAGATGTGAAATCCTCCCTGGTAAACCACTTTGCATTTTTGGATGAAAAGTTCTATAAAAGGAGGAGGATAGCGCTAAGTAACATTAATTAGTAAAAGCCCAGGGTGCTCTGATGAAATTACTCATCTCAGAAAGGGGCTTAGCATCTAGTGTTAATATAAAGCATCTTTACCAACTCCCTACATATTCCCATTTCCCTAAATGTGTGATATGAAGTAGTTTAATGAATGTTCCATAGAGAGTAAAAATGAATGTTAGCTATACACCTAGGCCTGTGTTAAAACAAAATTTCCAGCCTTGAGTAAAACTCTATGAAATCTTTCTGATTAAGCAAGAAGTTCTCTCTCTTATTCATCCTGCATACCCATTTGTTTTTCTCAGGTTGTTGGCACATCTCTTCCAGCAGGTTTTCGGTGCAGATGGAGTGAAAATTCCATTCCAGGACTCGAAATGAAGCTATTTCAAACAAAAACAGTGGCCAGTGCCTTGTTTGCACTCAACACGCTGAATCTATCAGCACCACTTCTTTTTATCTTCATGTTGATTTCTTGTGCAGTGCTTTGCTTTATGGTGTGACAAAAGTCCAAGGGAATTTTTATACCTTTAATCATATCTTTCCTATTAGGTGCAGAGTCCAAGGGGATCATTCTATTGGGAGACTCAGCTGGAGCTCACTTTCACATCCCTCCTGAATGGATGACAGCAGCACAGATGTCTGTGGTGAGAAATTCTATTATGGTTGTTGAAGCAGTGCCAACCTTTGATTGATATTTGCCTTCTCTCCAATTACGCAGGGTACCAAATGGGCAAAATGCCTATTGTTTTGGAAATCTATCACTTTGCTTTTTGGGAGCAATTATTCCATAGAAGGGAAGGAACATATCCCAGCTTGTACCAAAACATTGCTAAGTAAAAACAAGGGTCTTTATATAAGTACTGTCCTTTAATGTCTGTCCTGCTAAAGAAAAGAGAGAAAATGCTCTGCTGTCATACCTCCATTGTTGTAAGTAGAGTTATGTCAAAAAAGATTTTGGGCCCCAAAGTCTTACTGCTAAACATGAGACAGAATCCAGGGCACACAGCTGAAAAAGTGAAAGCTTTGGACTAAAGGAGAATATTTGTTTATTATCAGTGAGACTTTGTCTGGGCTTTGTCCCACATAACTACTAGGGGTGTGCAAAACGGGCCATATTCAATTCGGATTCAGCTGGAATCGGGGACAGTGATTTGATTCGTTGATTCAGATCACTGTCCCAGTTAGATTCAGCTGAATCTGAAGATTCAATGTTGATTCAGAGAATCAGCGATTTGGCCAGAGACACAAATTTAAATGTTTTTTTTACATACCTTGAGGTACCAGGTGCAGCTCATGAATGCTGAGAAGCTGGGGCAGATGGAGAGTCCCACAGGAGCATGGGGGGGAGGCCCTGCTTTCTTGGCAGTGAACCTAGAAGTGGGCCGGAAGTACTTCTGGTCCACTTGCGGGTCTGCTGCTGAGCATGTAGGGGACCCCCCTTCCCCCTGCACTCCTCCAGCTCGGTGATCAGCCATGGGGGGACCCCAGACCCAGGAGGCACCAGTCACCAAGCCAGGGGACAGAGGTGGGGAGGAAAGTTCTTCTGGTCCACTTCCAGGTCCACTGCTGAGCGTGCTGAGGACTGCCCCACGCTCCCGTGGGACGCTCCATCCGCCACAGCATCTCAGCATTCATGAGCCACCTGGTACCTTGAAGCATGTAGAAAAAACATTTAAAGCTGTGTCTATGTCCAAACCATTGAATCTTTCTGAATCCTGATTCAGTTTAGATTAGGAGATTCTGCTGCTGAATCAGGCCAAATCTCCCCCGAATCAAATCAGTGACCGAAGCTTCACACAGCCCTAATAACTACACACATATAGTAGAGCTAATGAACATAGTATGTTTATGTCTGTCTGTCTGCAGACCCAAACATTTATTAAACATTTATTAAATAAAAGAGTGTACAAATGTGGCAATGCCATTAGAAGGGCTCTTCGTTTGGGTCACATCGTTGCATAATCTCTTTGTGTTCCTCCAAGGAATAAAGGACCACTTTGCAAAGTATGCTGGAAAGGCAGCTATTAGAGTACCTGTCAGTGAAGTAAAATAGAAAAGATCAGGGAAAAAAGCCACTTTCAAAACCTTCTACTTGGTAGTGGAAAGAAATCCTTGAAGCTGCTCCATTCGTCCACTTTATTTCCCTCTGCCTTGTGCTAGGTTGGGAGACCCTTCAGAAGAACTGCATATTCTCTCAGGACTTTGCTAACTATATGTGGGCCAGCAGCAGAGGCATAACTCAGTCATTATTGAAGCATGGAGCTTCTCTCCCTCCCAAAGGGACCCAGCATCTCTGTAGTCTGCTAAATCTACAATGGCCTCTGAGGAAGAGGAAAGCGGAAAATGTGCCATTTTTAAAAATAAAATATTCAGCACTAATAATTACAGTGTTACTGGAGGCATACAAATTTCTGTCAGAATTGTATGCATTTTTCATCTTTCATTTGCACAGCTGAACTGATTTAAATATTCTTGATGAGCAGTTGTTTTTCTTTGTTAATCAGTTATGAGAGCTGATTAAAGGAGTGACATTGATGACAAAGGTAGTGAAGAACATAATAAATCAGTGGTGATAATAATTGAAATTATTTTGCCTAACAAATATGGTAATAATTCTGATGACGATGACAATACCAGCAGTACTTTGGTGATGTATCCAAGCTACTGTTTTAGACTACATCTGCATTTCTATTAATCGCTGACGTTCAGACTGTAGTACTTGCTTTGTAAATAATTTCTCTAGGCTGAAATTTGGTACAAAGCTTTTCAGACACAGAGCCCATTTTCTGTACCAAGTTTGACAGTATCTTTTTTCAAGATGTGCCTGGTCACCCAGTTTCTCTTTAGCCTGAGTTTAACCTAGTATATTGAAGCTCAGTACCTTCTTGTGATTTAAAACTCCTTACCTGAAGAATTGGATGCAGGGATGTCTGAGCGCTTGGTAGTACTATCGACCAGAACACTATGGAGTTATGCACACGTGCACCCTGCCCCTGGCTGGAGTGCAATATAGATGCCAAGGCAGCCTCTCCAGTCAAGGGGTGATGAGACTTGGCAGAGAAGATGTCTTTAGCTTATGCTGCCACAGGCACCAGCTGGAGGCAGTGATGGCAGAGGCAGCCCCTGGACAACTAATAGAGACAGGGCATGATCTCTTCAGTCACACCATCCCCACAAGCATCAATCAGGGGGCTGCGCTTGCCAGCCACAGCTGCTGCCCTGGGCCTAAGTATTTGTCCTGTAGTAGCAGCTGTCAAAGCTCTGTTCTGCAAGCCTGCTCCCCACAGGCTGGAGAGGTGTGAAGGGCAGCAGAGCCCTCTGGAGTGCAGGGAGCCTGAGAGACCCCTGTAATGCTACAGCTGAGGTGAGGTTTGGTAACAGTGTTCAGATACCTGGGGTGATTACAAGAGAGGATGGAGATAGGCTTTTCTCTATGACTGTAGGCATTGGTGATGCATAGGGGGTGCATGCCACCGCCGACACCGCTTCAGCCACCTGTGGAAGCTCCCCACTCGCCACCACGGTGCCCCCACTGCCATGGCCCCCCCAGCCTCTGGGGGCATGCATCGTTCATGACTGTAGGGGACAGGACTAATGGTTTCAAAGTGCAGCACAGGAAATTTAGATTGGACATTAGGAGGAAGTTTCTGACTACGAGGGTGGCCAAGCATAGGAACATGCTTAGTAGAGAAATTGTGGCATCTCCATCCTTGGATGTTTTCAAGAGCAAGTTAAGCAGACATTTGGCTGGGATGGTTTAATCAGGGGGTTGGACTAAATGACCTCATGAGGTCCCTTCCAGCCCTACTTTCCTGTTCATGGGCGACTGGTGCCTCCTGCCTCTGCGGGGGGGGCACCAGCGGCTGATCGCCAACTTCAGGGGGGTGGTCCCCCAGCAGCCTATCGCCAACCCCAAAAGCAGCAGCAGCAACACCAGAAGTGCCACTGGCACTCCCCACTCCCCAGCCAGCGAGGGCCAAACTCAGGGGGGGGCACGTGCCACCCCATACCCCCCCCACATGTCACCTATGCCTGTGATCCTATGTAACCATGCACCTTACATATGGCGCTGTAAAAAAGTTCCTATCTGAAACACGAACTCTGCTGTGACAGATCCACTGTCTTTGTAGCACAAGTAGCCTACACATACCACTTGCTTTTTGTAGTGCTATAGGAGTTTATATAGTGCTACAGAAGTATGTGTGTCCAAAGCCTGAGACTCATGCTCTAAAACTATGGGACTCTCCATGTTTAGGGCCCCCCCACAGCCATTCCAGGCTCTTACCCGTAAAACAGACAGTTCCTCCCCTTCTCTTTTTAGTCCAAACCTAGTCCTTACCAGGCTCTCCCTTTTAGTCTCCCCAAGCTATGAATATTCCTTACCATTCTTGCTCTCATGGTGCCTATTCTGTACCCTTTCTCAAGACAAAGTGGGGTGTCTCTCACCAGAATCAAACAGATTTATTTGTAGCTTCCATGTTATCACTGTCAGGGTACAGTTAGTCTAGTTTTAGTGATTTCAAGTGAAAAGGCGTGGGATGGGGTGGAGCTTATAGTATGTCAACCACTCTGGAATCATCGTTTCATGCATCTGCTCCTATCCTGCAGTAAGTGGAATCTAAACTAGGCAACCCAACCTTTGAATGAACCAAAACTAAACCACGACAGTTAAGCTTCCACCTACCACAGGGTAGGACTGGATACATAAAACAGTTTCAACAGCTAGTGCAGGGTAAGTATAATTTAACCAGTATAATTTTTTTCCCCTTCCTGGATCTCTCTTTTTTGCTGGTGGCAGTGGTATGATGAGCTGTGTTGCTCAGTCAGCTGCCAGCAATGCTTATATTACTTTGGGCTTCCCACAAACAGTCCAACAACCAGGCTCTGTAACACAGATGATACAAATGCCAGGATTGTCTAAGAGTGACTCCCAGCTCATTCACTGGTGATGACTGGAGAAACTGAGAGGAGAGGCGTGCTGAAACCACAGCGGCTTTTTATGTACCTTCCAACATATGACCTTCTGTGTCATCTTGATTCCTAGCTTTGAGGCAGTCTGTCTGCTGCCTTTCCCTGCAGTCACAATGTGACCTTCGTGAGAGGTTGATAGAGGGAGCTGAAAACATCTTATCTTCACATCCTTCACTGGGTGCTAATTGTGGTCTCCTAGTGGCAAGCAGGCAGTCAGCCAGCAGCAATCAGCTGTGAAGTACACCTGCTATTGCTGATGTCCTAATCTATTCTGCCTTGCTGATGCTTCCTGATTCTTACACGGTATTGAAACTCTTGAGCATTGGGCTTAAAAATGATTGATCTGCTCTTGAATTCTTGATTAGATGGGTCAAGGGACCAATAATAGGATATGGAAGTTTTCATTTGTAGACCAGTGGTTTGAATGCACATTAGCTGGGTTGGGACTGAAAGTTGTTACTGTTAGATAGCTGTTTGGTGATCTCCATTTGAATAAAAACCTGATAGTCTCTGTAGTGCTTAAGTGACAAATACTGTCATCACTGAATACCAACTGGTATGCTAGTTAGAGAGATCAAGGACTGAATAGATATGGACACTGAATGATCAATTTTGAATCTAGAGAAGTGGTTTCTCCAGGTTAGGATTCAGGGACATATCAGGAGATTGTTAA